TGATCCAATATTATGAATCGTCAACTATTGATTATATAGCCCGGGGTGTATGGAATAGTGCATATCAACAAAACTCTTGCCGGAGGCTGTGTTGGTATACCGAGTGATATAGACCTCATGTACATTTGTAACTGTAGTGAAAATCTTATAAATTTATGGTAGTTAAATATATATTTGAAAACTATGATATATAAAATAATAAATTAAACAGCTTCATTTGGTTACATAATGTTTCATGCATGGCTATTTGTTCGAATTTTATTAGATAAAGCTTGCCATTAATTATTCTTATAAAATGTATGCCAAGGAAAAACATGTTCCCTTTAGAAGCTTTTAACGATAAAGGTGCTCCGCAAATTCCGTCGTACTTTCTTTATTTGCATCTTTAAAAATAATATCAAATAGCTCCAAGAGCATGCTGCGAAAAGTTGCGTTTGAAAAGTAGTGTTAGAAAACTATGAAGCAAATAATATGACAACCGTAACGAAAAAGAAAAGTCGAAAAAAAATAATTATATCAGACAAAATTATTAAAGTTTAAAACCCATTTTTAAGATAATACTGTCTGTTGCACGAGGTTGCCGATGCATGAAGATGATGGGATGAAAAAGTAGGAATGAAAATATTGATTGAAATTTGTTATAAAAAATAAAGTATTAAAAAGACTACAATCAAAGTATAAAACTTTTCTAACTCGTAGTTTTTTCCTTGGCCAGAATTCTTAATAAAATTAATAACAACCTCTACGACAATAACTATTCAAACTTTATTAGCTAAATCTACGTTCTCAATAGGCGTGACATGAAATATTAGATTACTTATGATTACAATCATCGGAATTTGGAAATGAAAGTTTCTTCATATGTGTGTTCAGAATTCTGTTTTTGGCCACTGATAATATGCGAAATGACGGGTGAAAAATTGTTGATGAGTTTCTGTTTTCGTGCTAGAATATCATGGTGAGAATGTGTTATTGCCAACATAGACAAAAATCGTTTGAAATCAATTGACCGAAAAATATTAGGCACATATCATTTTATGTTTGTATACATCATGAAGAAATGAGATTGGATGAAGCTCTTGCGGATAAGATAGGATTGGGAAAGTATATTTACGATAAATGCTTTATTTTGAACTATTTTGGCAATCGCTATATTGTTATTTATCGCAATTTAATGTACGATTGAAGATAGGCATATAACATTCTAATACTAAAAATTTGTCTTGACTTTACTGATTTATATTATGTAAGAAAAATCTACTTTGTTACAAAACAATTTTGTACCTCGGAAGTTGAAATTTCAGAATAAACAATTTTTAACTTTATCTGCATTTCTGGACTCGCTGGTAGATAAGTGACTAGAACGACTGGACCTGAATCAGATGTGCCAAGTTCGAACCCGCTTCGGGCAGCCTGATGTCAAGCAGTAATGAACGGTTTTCACTTGCAAATATAGACAAAAATATGTTTCCATGTGAAAATAGCTCTGATCCAGCATTGCTGCATCAATGAATATTCGACCGTTTACATAAATTGTAATAATAATTCATCACACAGAGGTGGGACAACTGTTTGGCTTACCATTTGTAGAATCGACTAGTATTGGATCAAATCAGCCCAAAAGCTTATAGGTCTCTTAAGTTCTGATTGCTGTTCAAAATAATAATAAAAACATGCATTTCTCTTATTTTGCTCTCATGGGTCTTGAAATTTCCTGCTAGTGCAATCAGTTGCATAGAATTGTACAAGTTACATGGTATGTTGTTTGTTTTCCATATCAACTTGTCGTGTCAACAGAAGTTGAATGTTTGTTTCTATACTGCGAAATACAAAATATATCTGTAAATAAACTCAATTCCCCCTCATAATGCGCTTTCGCCCTTCGCAATAGAACAACACACATCAATGATCATCGAATCCTGTAGCATGTCACGGGGCGCGCGCCGCTTTATATATATATATATATATATATATATATATATATATATATATATATATATATATATATCTGTAGACTATTTTGAAAGCGTTAATCTTTTATAAGAACAAAAACATACAGAGACCAAATACTACCCACTTCTATACAGTGGATATTTTCCTAAAGTGTTTTTACAAGGTTAATTTCAACCAGAAAATACAGAGCGCGCAAAGTCATTGTTCAATAGAATTATACATACAATGTTTTGGAATAAAATAAAAGAAAACGTTTTTTTGAAATTTCAAGATGCTTAGATTATTTTAGACTAGTATAATAAAAATAGTTATAGGTGGCATTTTACCATGATTCTGACGACACAAAACTGTGCGCACAGTTCAATGAGAATTGCCTGGTTAATTATATGATATATATTGAATTACAGGTTTTTATCAAATAATTGCAATAACTGTTTTAGTATAGAATGAGATGTAATGTATGTAATATCTAAACTACCCCCATAAATATAACCTTTACGGCTGATACTTTCGACGCGACTACTTGACAAAAGATCAAATACACAGAAAACTTATTGAATTGCCTGAATTAACTGGCTTTGTCATGTCAGGTCACAGAATTGCTCATATGTTTGTCGGACAAGTTTCGTTATTACCGCTTTTTCAAAATGTAATTCGTCACGGAGTCCGAGGCATTACATCATTATGTAATCGACGTTCAATGATTCATGTATATTTTGTATTGTATACAAGGACCGATTGAATAAGTGGGTATGGTATATCGATTATTAAAGCAAAGAGTGGATGTAGAGATCTGAAAGTCGCAAAATAACACAAGCCAGAAGTTTTAAAACAGACTGACCAAATATCCTGCTAATAGCAAAAAAGTTGTTAGATCAAACTCACAACAGAAAAGTAAAAAATGCTAATGACCAATAAAAGTTTTACCTAAGTTGTTCGGCCAGCACTCATGGTTAGATAATCTGTCATGTATGGCAAGTAATTGGTACATATTTTTGATAAATCATACAAAAATTAATATTAATAATTATAATATATAGTAATATTTTTCTATTATCTTCTGTACTCGAAAGTGTAATTAGAGAATCGAATCGGTTTCGCATGCATGTTCGTGACGTGTTAAATCGACCCAGTCATGTATCACTCCATCAATCAACGTTGCCGACGTTATTCTGGCAGAAAATTTAACGTGCAAAATGCGACGCAATTTTCTCAGTATTGAGTAAGACGAAAATTGCTACTATAAAATATAACGATATTAATACTCACTAATTCCAACTTGCTTTAAAAAAAGCAGTTCAAATTGAATGAAAATAGGTGTGCAACCTCTAGACTCTAGAGTCTAGAGAAACAATTCATATATTCAAAACTAATATAATTTGGCTTAAAAGAAAAAAATGCATTGCAGCTGATCTATAATAAATATATATATAAATAGGCATTTCTAAATCAACATGAAAAATAAAAAAGTATTTAAAAAAAATTAAAATTTTACTAATGAGTAGGTGTTGTGATGTTCAAAATGAGTTATTAGGGCTGTAATCAGTGCTGGATTTACAGTAGCGGCAATCGGGGCTACTGCCCAGGGCGGCAAATTTTGGGGGGCGGCAAAATTTCGATAGTGAGAAAAAAATTCTATACAATATAATCAACTTTTTTTTAACAACATTTTTTATTTCAAGAAATATAATTAACAAAACATAATACGATTGCAATGCAAAATTTGGGTTGAATTAACCGATAACTAAAATTTATTATTTTGCCTTGCTTCCCTCTCCGAACGTATATTATCAAATTGGTTAATAAGTTATCAAATTTGGCAACTTGGCTAATATAAATTTCCATAAACAAGCTGTAAGTTTAACAAAAATATGTTTTTCAGTTCGAATTTGTGCACTTCCAAGCTTATAGCGTAGAAAAAAAATTTAAACTAGTGACTCATAGCATTGTGGCTTAAGACAAATTACTAAAACATCCCGTACTGAAAATTACATTTTATAAAGAGCTTTAAATTTTTTTCAAAAATGAAAAAAAAGACTTTATAGCACATTTTTTGTATTTTGAAATTTTTCGAAAATTGAAAATTGATGAACTTTTTGCAAAGCAGTTGCGCTGTGTAGCTGTTTCAGAGAAGAAATATCGAAACTCAATTACAATTTTTCGTAAATGCCTGTGCCAAAAGCTAATCAGCACGTCTCCCCATTAATATAAATCTAATATTTTTTAATTATTCAAGTCGATTTCGAGAACACTATTGATACTCGAGAACTATTGATAAGGAGACGTGCTGATTAGTTATTGGCCAAGGCAGGTCCAACTGTTTTGAAGATACGGGCTAAATGCCAAAAATGATAATTCAGTTTTTGAGAAAAAATAGTCCAATATCATTCAAAAAAATTTACAGAATAATTAACTGCTTAAATTTGTGAGGCGGGGCAGGTTTAGCGGTTTCGATGATCCAATAAAAAAATTTGAAAAAGAAACATTTGGCGGGCAAAAGTGATCATAAGACATATGCACATTAAATTATCAGATATTTTAAAGATATTATAATAATAAGTATACATTTTGTTTACATTTATATGCGTTCTGTAACATTGTTTATCCGTTAGACCGCGACGCAGCGCTTACGCGCTTCTATATTTTGTCCCTACGCAGCTGAAGCAGCGCGATTGCTTTAAAAAAAAGTTCGAAAGTTCGTAAAATTTCAGGGATGGGGCGGCATTTTTGTCAGTGCCCCGGGGCGCCAAATTTCTAAATCCGGCTCTGGCTGTAATAATGTAATATAAGGCACTGACTGAAAGCAATTAATGCTAACTTATTCGAACAATTATACTTCAAATTTCTCACTTTGGACCCTATCTCAAAATCAGTGTAGTAATGACGACTGACAACTGTTATGACGACTGTCACTACCGTACCCTGGCACAATCATACCCAGTCTCTCCTACTGAATATTATGTTTATCTACCTATAACTTTATATCTAATCCACTTATCTTTACAATAATGATGTAATGATGTTTTGTATTTTTCCAATTGTTACAGCAGAGATGTCATTAGAAAGCACGTCCGACGGAAATTCAGAACACAATTCATCAGGTGATGAAGATTCACAAATGCGATTGCGGCTGAAAAGAAAATTGCAACGGAATCGCACGTCCTTCACGAACGAACAAATCGACAGCCTGGAGAAAGGTAAATGAAAAGACAACTTTTTAATTAACTCAGTAATAAATGACTCTTAATTTAATATAATAATCTCTATTTCTCGTGTTTGAATTGTTTTGAGCGTTGTGAATGATATTTAAAGTTTAAGTGATTAAAAAAATCTATTCGCATTGCTGACAATGTTTGCTGAATGCCAAGCAGCAAATGACAAATTTGGGAAATCAAAGTTAAAGATATTTTAAGCAAAAAATGTGTACAATAATACAAGAAATTTAAAAAATATGTCAGGAAGACTACTCACATCGAAACGACTTCTATTGACAGATTTTTATTCTGATTTTCCAATTCAATTCAGACCTTTGATCTCATTTACAAATATTAATATCCCAGCTTTTGCATAATGTATGAATGGCATAATTTTTGATAATATTTGATTATTTTTTTTTAGAAGGATTTTAAGTTTTAAAGCCATGTGATGCTCCAACTTCCATGTATTATGCTACTGAATCATATTGAATACTGTCAAAATGTCATATATTTGCTGTGCATTCAGGTTCTTACACATAAACTGCAACGTCACTCGTATGTTATGAACCTGACAACCTTGTGAGTCAGAAAGACCCTGTTATCAAACATGTTTTTTTACATTTGTGCAGTTTCTAGATTATGTTTTCTATCTAACAACCAGAGAAAATCGCCTGTCTGCACAGCAACCACATAGTTTTTGACAATATTAAGAACGAATTTGTATGGAAAGTTCATCATAACATAGCTTTGCCATAACATTGATCTGTTATGCGGCAGAATCGGTCCCTAAATTCAACTTTTACTTTTTTTTTACTTTTAAAATAAAAATAGCAACGTATTATTGACTATTTTTCTGGTTAATGTATATATAGAAATAGGGAGTATTTAGAATATTTTTTTTATCTATTTCAGAATTCGAGAGGACGCATTATCCTGACGTGTTCGCGCGCGAGAGACTGGCGGAGAAAATAGGATTGCCTGAGGCACGTATCCAGGTAACTGTTACTGGATGCTTGTATGACCGCTACTACTTGCGTTCTTTGCTTTATTTTAGCTAACTAAGTTTCGTTTCTAAGTTAAGAAAAAACACCCATTCACAAAAGAATAAACAAAGAATACCTAAAAAAAATTGGCTGCCACAACTTGAATAGATTCTATAAATATTGGCTTACTGTGAAAATGATGCATTAGATTTTGTAACTTAATGGGTTTTCTTTCTCGGGTCTTTGCACGTGCAACTTTCGTTAGATTTTTTTGCTTGTAATGCTCTATTTTGAAGGTATTTTATTTTAGTGTCTAATTTCACATAATATTCATAGAAATGAAATATTTAATACAATTTTAAAATAATAAATAGCATCAAAATGCAACATTATGCTTTTGCAAATATTTATAAAATAATTTATCGGAATGTTAATTTTTGGCATAAATATGGCGAGATCTCTAACTTCGACTATGTGTTTAAAGTTCCAAAATAAGCTCTTTAAATTTTTCTCATTCAATTGACTTCAGTATAATAAATTCAAATTGCGTTCAAAACTATAAAACTCATAAATAATCTTATTTTTTATTTAATTTAGGCTTAGAGAAGCTAAACTATCATTATTTATTTAAATATTGTAGACCACCAATAATTTAGTTTTAAAATATATCTTGTTTTCACTCGTCCACTACCAATATAATTATAAAGATGAATTCAAATTCCTTATTTGTGAGAAAATAATTTTTTATACATACCTGCTAGTTTTAGCAGTTTCAGTTTGTGGAAAACCTAGTCCATGAACGATTAACATGCCATCCAAATAATTTCTTCCAGCTAAAATATAGAACAGACAGAATATAAATATTGTTACATTTATTCGTGAAATAAATAGTGATACTTTGAAATCTCTTAATACCTCATTCAAATATTAAATGAAATTATTTTTTGTCATTAATAATTACGATTTTACATAAAAGTTATATACATGGGATATGCGATATAGTAAATTTACTTGATTTGGTACCACATTAAAACATGCGTAGAAATTAAATATATGTCAGTATAGATGTCTGTTAAATGCCAAAGTCATTAAGAAATAATAAATAATTTAATGCTTGAAAATGAATTAAAACTGATATGTTACAAATATCAGTTTAATCATAAAAAATAACCCATCACTTTTGACAATTATCAAAAGGGCAAAAGGCTATATTGTTGATCTACAGAAATAGCAACACGTAAATCAAACCTGGCAGACAGGATTTATTATACACAGCGATATATTTTCGTTGACATTTTCATTTTAGTTGTCATCAGCGGTATATCATTTTGCCAGCGTTCCCGAATTTCGATATTCTCTCTGACGACAATGGTGAGTTTGTTTACACCCTAGGTCGACTAATTAAGAACCGACAAATATGTAAATTCGTAGGCATATCGTGCGACGTATTCCAACGCGTTCGTCTAATTTTAATTAGTAAGTTACACACATGTGTACGCGCACACGCAATTATTGGCAAAACGGTACACATCGCACAATCACAACAAGAAATTATGGATTTTAGGGAAGTAGATTTAGGGAAATGAAGATAATATTTATGTAACTGATGGGTGAATGACTTTGTTTATTTTCTATTTCTTTATTTTTCTATATAAATATATCTGTGTATATTTTTTATGCATTACACACATTTTTTGCATATTTCCCACGACCATACAACCTATTACGGACTTTTGGTTGTATTTTTACATATAGCCATTTATAAAATTTATAGATGGTATAAATAGGAATTTCAAAAAAACATTGCCCTGCATAGAGTTAAAAAAACATTTAATGACAATCATTTCTCCAGCTCAAAACAACCAATTCGGAAAATAGATATCACTGTGTTCTGCGCTAAAAATTCTACCAATTTCTTGCTTCAAAACGTCGAACTATGATTTTATTTGCACTACTTTGTAATAAGTTTTATCTAAATTACATTAATCTAACATGGAGAATCTTAGGTTCACTTTTCTAGGATTTTGATGAAACTTTGCATGGTGATACAGTTGATAGCCAAACCAAACACCTTAAAATATTATAGGATTTTGAGATAATTAGTATGATTATGAAAATTAATTGAAATTCTGAAAAATAGACCGCACGCAATACATGCGGTATTCGGTAGCTCAATCAGTAAAAAGGTAGCTCAATTGGTAAAACTTTTCCATCTCAGTTTACAAAAGTTTGACTATAATTGAATCCACGAAGTATTTTTCGGAGCATTTCTCGGATTTTATTTGGAACAACAAAAGAAATATTGATGTTAAATTCCAAATTATTCTCAAGTTCATGCTCTATTGTCTTTATCCGTTTTGTTGACAACATTCCGAATTGAACCATTTTAATTCCGTATGAGTTGCCACGAAGATTTTTATTTGCTTTTGCATAATTTATAATAAAAGTTGGATATCATTATTATTTCCTTTACATCATATATTACTTTTACGTTTGTGGTTATAAGACTTTATTTAATTGTCCAAAATTTCTTATGAATTTCAAATCGTGGTCATATTGATGTCAAACTCCAAATTATTCTCCAGTTCATGTTCTATTGTCTTTATCCGTTCGTTCTGTAAAATTTTAAGTCTTTTTCAACAAGTATTGCTGACAACATTCCACGTTGAACCATTTTAATTCCGTGTGAGTTGTTACGAAGATTTTTATTTGCTTTTGCATAATTTATAATAAAAGCAGGATATCATTATTATTCCCTGTACATCATATCTTACATTTCCGTCTGTGGTTATAAGAGATTGCTTATTAATTTAAAATCGTGGTAATCTAAACCGTACTCTAATTGCCTATACGACTCAACACAAATGAAAGAACTTCGATGGTTTCAATGTTTTAATTAAGCAATGGATTTTAATACTTCTTTAAGAAACGTGGTATTAGAATTTATTACTGATTCTGAACTAGTCTATAACATTTGGACACGATATCAAATTTGTCATCCATACTACGGCTGGTAGTATCGTTTATTGTTTGGGGGGATTTGTTAGCAGTTAATTTTATTACGTCTGTTAGGTACACGCAGTTTCGGAATCGAACGATCTAAATAGTTAAAGCCCGAAACTGTTGGTCACCCTTAAAGTCATTGCTTCTGACTGATCTTAAATGGAGTGTGTATATTATATGTTGCGCAGCGCACATTAGACGAATGACCATATTGGCAATTGGTGACAATTCGCTAACTCATATAATTAATTAATGTTTAGATTGTTATTGCCTTTATTAATTATTATTTTTTTCTTTATGAGAACCAGTACTTTGAATTATTATAAGCCATTAAGAAGATTTTGAGAGTTGAAGTTTCGGATGTATAAATCGGAAAGCCAATTTTGAAGCAACTGTCTGTCGTTGCAACTATTTGTCAAAAGAAGTTTATGCTATTTTATTTTAATCTGTTACCAAGTAAAATAGGCCTTACAGATATTACTGCATTTATTTGAATGATATATCAGCTTTATGAGATAAATTCTAATACTAATATATTCGAAATATGGATATGTTAACCGTTCTAAAACCAGCCTTAGCCATCTAAAAATACGCCCAATGCGTCTTGATTATCTACTATCGCTAATTGAATAAATATAAACTTTGATATGACTTCAAAATCTTTTGTTCTAAAAATAGTTTATAGTTTATTATTTGATGAAAAGTCTCAAACATAAAGAAATTTCACCTCTAAACGCTTTATTGTACGTTACATAATCATGAACGTTACCACTCAAATTCTGAGTGACTTTGAACATGGGTAACGCGTATTTAAGCTAAAACAATATTTAACCAACATATAATATTTACCAAGAATATTTAAATTATAAATGAAATTAGATTGAAAATAGTAGTAATTCTCGTATAAAAAATCCTATTCAGATACTTAAATGGTTCCTCATTTGTCACTTATTAATTGCGTAAATTAAAATCGAATACATAGTAATACTTCGTTCACTGTAATATTTAAAAATAAAACATTGATCAATTGAATGGATGTAGCGGTGTACAAAATTAATTCATATCTTATTGCTCTATTTGCTCTCTCAGCAAAATACAAATCGCCGTTGTTAGATTAAGGTTTGAATTTGGCATATATCACAATAATATTTATATTCAATACTTTGCAAGCAGCTTTTTACTGCATATTTTATTGGCCTATTTTGGCGACAGCATAACAATAGATAATAAATATTTTAAATAGCTTATTATTGAATAAAAACAATTGAAATTTAATGCTTTATAATAACATTGGTCTATTCTCATTATTAAAATTCACATAAAACACTCATTCATGGAAATTCAATAAAGACTTATTTTAATTACATTGGCATTACAACAAATAAATATGGTAATAATATACATATAACCGAGCCGCGGGCCCATCGAATATTACATAAATAATATACATGCATTGGAATATATTACATGTGTATTATTGATGCACAGTGAAACACCCGATGAAATTCAGGAGGGATGCGAGCCACCCCTGCAATGTGGGCGACATGACGGTTTAAGTAACACAATAGAAATAATAGCGATTTTATTAACGTTCCTCTTGTTACAATATAATTCAATATGAAATTATATATGTATCATTTTATTTGATATGTTTTTTAATGAATAATCCCTTTGCATAATATTGCCATAACAGAAGTCCCCATTCGCACTGTGATAAGCACCCCCGTAAAATATATCCAAAATATTTGCATAACACAGTGATCATCATTAACACAGTGCTTTGAAGTGGGCTAAATATTAGAAGATATTGGATCAAATCTTTTGAGCAACATTGATTCAGAATTATAATTGAAATTATCGTATATAAATTTTTCGATTTATTGCTATTTAAGTAACAAACACTACTATTGGTGCTATTGTAAAAAATAAAACCGTAATCATTAAGTTTTGGTACTTTCTAACAGGTTAGCTCTATCAAAAATCATTAGATCCTAATCCTGAAAAAAAAT